TATCTATATTTAATAATTTTTTTAACTCAAATAAGGTTTCCATTATCAAAAATCACATGATTCTTTTCACAAAGAAAGTACGATTTCATTCTCAAAACTAACAAATATCTCATAATTAATAAATGCCTATGTATCAGAATCAACAAACATCTATATAACAGAATCAACAAATACCTACATCTCAGGACCAACAAGTGAAGAAACAAATAATGCTAGTAGAAAATAGTTGTCATAATCAAATAATTAAATACTATGAAGAAAAAAAATGAAAAAATATCTAAAGTATCAGTACCTATTGCAAATAACTAAGACTGTAAAGTATAATAGCAAATTATGATTAATGTTATTATTCAATTTACTGATGCTCAATCTCAATTTAAAATTTTTTTGTTCAAAATTTATTATGTAATTAATATATTTGCCTAGCCAATTACTAAATTGCATTTCACTCAGCTAATTACAATTTAAAAAATACACTAATTACAATTTAAAATTACATTAATTATAATTTAGAATTACATTAATTACAATTTAAAAAATATACTAATTATAATTTGCTAATTATAATTTAAACCGGATACTAATTACAATTTAAAAAGTACGTTTAAAAGTATTTACACAGGTCTATATGAAAATCCATATGAATTTGAAAATCATCTGATTTTTATATAGACCCATGCGAATAAACATTCGAAAAAAGCACAGGTTGTTACATAAGACCTATATAATAATATAATATTAATATTACAATTCGAATGTAAGTATTATTAATTTATCATTATACTGTATTTATCTACATAATATGATATTTAAAATTATATAATTTACCGGTCACAATTCTAACAAATTAGTAAGTCTGGTAGACAATCAACTTGAATCCTCAATAACAGGGTTTCCCTTCGTGGTAATTTTAAATTGCTTTCAGTAACAATATTAAAAAGCTTAATGTATCATACTACATAGTACTTATTTAAATTTTATATAATGAAAAGGTGTCCTGTACAGATACACATTATAGTACTTTATATTATAGTATATTCAATAACAAAATATAGTATAAAACATCTATACCCTGTGACCCGACACCTCATTTTCGCTATGGCTAGGGCATGATTAGAGATATTAAAAGTCCAGTCCAGTCTGGTCTAACACATGAGTTGAGTTTTACAGCTGTTCTCATAAATTCTGGAAAATTTGGCAAAGTTGACCGATCGAATATTTGCCAATTCGATAATTTTTGATTCAGCAGTGATAAACTTTTGATCCAGATATAATTGTATCTGAATCAAAAGCTTATCACTGCTAAATCAAAACTTATCGAATCAGCAAATATTCGGTCAGTCAATTTTTGCCAGATTTTCCAGAATTTATAAGAACAGCTGTAATCTCGACTCGGTTCTGAGTCAGGTTCAAACTGAGTCCCAATAATCTCATAGTAGTTACATGCAATATTAGATCATATGATAATAATAAAAGAGATAATATATTTTTGAAAAATTATATTGACACAGTATTAGGGTAGCACAGAGATCATTGGCATACCAGGGTGGCATGCCTATAGTGGCATGCCTATAGTGGTATGCCATAGGCATGCTCAATGCCCAGATTGCCTATAGGCATGCTATTTATATATATTCCGAAAGGTTCTGAATAGAAAATAAAATAATGTAGGAAAATTGCAGCAATACTCTAAAGTATTCCAAAAGGTTATTTTATAGTAAACGATAACTGACCAATCCCAATTGAGTATATTATCATGTGGTTTAATGACATGCCAGGGTGGCATCCTGGCACAAACTTTAGTGGTTGGCATGCCATATGACACACAATATTTTTTAGCTGTGCCACTCACCCTACTCACCCTACACAGCATGCAGCATGCTGTATGCTGTGTCAATATAATTTCCCCAAAATATATTATCTCTTTTATCGTTATCATATGATCTAATATTGCATGTGACTACTATGAGATTATTGGGATTCGGTCCGAACCCGACTCGGGACCGAGTCAAGATTAAAACTCGACTCATGGAGTCGGACCGGACCGGATTTTTAACATCCCTAGGTATGATACATACCAACTGGTGTTATCGCTGTTTTTGAAATGGTTGAAAATGACTTTTTTAGCATACATTCATACACTCGTATACTCGATTACCTTAGCACGTTGATTTAAGATCGATGCCCGATTTTATGAAATTGTTCCGAACAATTACACATTGATCTTCAATCAACATGCTAAGGTAATCTAGCATATGAGTGTACGAGTGTACGCTAAAAAAAAATTATTCCATTTTCAATCATTTCAAAAACAGTGATAAATTGTCACCCAAAAAAAAAAATAAATAAATAAATAAATAATCACGATCCATCAATTATCGTACGATGCTTATTAATAAAATTTTCATGGAAACGAAAGTATAATTAACTACCGGTATATATATATATTTTTAAATACTGTAGGTAGCATGTAGATATCAACCAATCAAATTTAATGAAGATCATATGACATGTTAGCCAATAAAAAGAAACTTCGGTTATGATTGCTGCATGTGTGGTTCACTGCTCGTTTTTACCTTGCTCTGAACCAGAGCCAGTGGATTTTAGTAGTAGCAAAAATAGCACTAGCGAAATCACGACTACCACATAACCAATCTGACTGAAATTGTTTTTATTTTAATTCTATAAATACATAGAATTAAAATAAACCAAATTTCGTCAGATTTTGTTATGTGGTGCTATTTTTGCTACTACTAAAATCTACTGGCTCTGCTCTGAACTAGAATGTCCAGGGTTCTGCGGTGGCAGAATCTGTGCAGAATCTGTGCAGAATTTGTACAGAATTCTGCAAGCAGAATAAAAATTATTGGTGAATATATTTCTTTTTGTTGTAATTTTGTTTTTAATGTATTATTTATACGTCACCGCAGAATTTGCTAATCTAACAATAATTGCAGCAGGATTTTTCAGTTAGAGCAATATCCTGGACACTACTTTGAACAATAAAAAAAAAAAAATAAGGCGCTGAGAGAATGCTAACCTCTTTTTTTGATTTTTTCTGTTTCCATTTGCGCCTCAATATAGTCGGTAAAAGTAGATCTGATATCAATTTACTATATTTGTAACGATAGGCTTCGAATTTGGTTTAAAAATAATAAATGTCCCAAAAAAAAAAAAAATAATAAATAAATTTGAAAGCCCAAAGTCTGGCGTCGCCCATTTTGTTTAGGATTTACATCAATTTTAGCAATTCATGTTACCGTTGCAGTTACGACTTTTAATTAGACGTGACGACACAAAATGAAAACCAAACTTCGATCATATGATCAAAGTTTTGGCAGCACCAATTTGAACTTCTGACTTCAAGCACTTGGCACTTGAAAATTTTTAAAATATCCTTGTCATTTTTTTAATTCACATCAATTTTTTAATCATTTTATTACAAATATATATTATTTATGGATTAATTATTTTTGTCTAGTAACAATTATAATCATTTGGGGTCTTTGCCTTGAAATCACCCTCCGACATTTCCGATCGGGTTAATTCGGGCAAAAATAAACCCGAGTACCGGTTCATGTCGTATATTCAATAGTTATTCGATAAACTATTGAATAAAGTTATTAAAAGATGATATATGAACATGAACCGTTACTCGAGTATATTTTTGTCCGAATTACCCCGATCAGAAATGTCGGAGGGTGATTTTCAAGGCAAAACCCCCATTTAACAAGGCCTGTCGAAAAGTTAATTATAATTAATTTTTTTAATTGAAACCCAATTAATGACGTAATTGAAACCCAATTAATGATTATACCGCATAGAGCGTGACATAATTTTTTAAACAGCGAAAATTAAAACCACATGTAATCTATACGACGATATAAGCTAATTACGTAAAATTGCAATTTATTGACTCATTGTGGCTGCGCCACCAATAATTATTCGGAAGGCTTGAATTTAACTGCACACAATTTATTCAATTTCTATCAAAGAAAGACCGAACTTATATAAATGCTAATCGTACTCACAACAACTACATCCTGTATCATACAATTTTAAATTCATTTAACACTTTTTTTACCATTTTGAATTTATCTTTATCACATCTGTTTAGCTTTACAATGTTGACTTAACTAAAATTAGCTTTCGTGATACATAATATAAATTTTGCAAATGCACTTAAATTTTTAATAGAAATATTTAAGGCATTTAAAAGTTCTCAATAGATGATTGTCCGTAATAGGAATTCTAATTGTTGAAAGGCTTTTAAATAAATTATTAAATAAATTATTGATGATTTCTATCGTTATTCCTCTAACCCTTCATTAATAACTATGGCTGCTCAGTTCAGTAATAGTCGATGTATGATACAAATTTATACCAGTTTCTTTTTCTTTATATTATTTTATTTGAGTTTTTGGCTTCAACCATTATTTGATAATTCAAAAGATTTAAATTTACAAAAAGAGTTTCGATCCTCTAATCGTACACTTGACTTTGACCATATTTATGTTATTCATCTTGACTATCGAACGGATAGACGCGATAGATTAGATGAAATGGCATCCTATCTTGGATTAGACTTGGATTATTTTTCTGCCATTTCTAAACACGATGGAAATGTCCTCAGAAATTATGGTTCCGCAGATATGGACCTTTCTCAAAAAGCTTGTTATTTAAGTCATTATGTAATCTATAAACAAATGATTTATAAAGGATATAATAGTGCTTTAATTTTAGAAGATGATGTGGACTTTGAACTTAACATTACTGCTATTATGGCTGATATTCATCATGACCTACCTCCTTCTTGGGAAACGTTATACATAGGCAGTTGCTTTGAATCTATGGGTGAACAAGTCGGGAAAAGTTCTTCTGTCCATAGATTGTATAAGTCAGTGGCTCCAATGTGCATGCATGCTTATGCTGTTTCATATTCGGGTGCTCAAAAGCTTATAGAACTGCTCGATCCTATGGTTCCACGTGGGACGATTGATTATTCTCTCTCGGTAGTAATTAGTGAAGGGAAAGTCTCTTCATATAGCGTTCATCCACAACCTATCGTGCAATGGAAATCTGTTGATAATCCTTCTGATATTCCTAAATCTCAATCCTTATCCTTTAATTTATTGAATTCAACTTTACGATTTCTTGGCCATAATACATAGCACTTAATGTAAATACAGTACATACGTATCTATTTTTTAATATTTTTCTGGTTAAAGAAAAGTTAAAACCACCTGCACATGTTTTTATTACAGTATATGCAAACTGAAAAATTAATTGCAATTAAATCGAATATCTTCTTTATCTGTTTTATATATGCACTTTAAAGTTAATTCGATATAAAGCTCTTAATCTGCTTTAATCTTAACTTTACTTGGTTATATATGTGTAGAGCTCTATAATAATGCTGAATATTAAAAAATTTTAAAATTCTTTAGTTAAATATGCTTTATACATACTTTTAAAAGTTAATCTGACATAAAGCTCTTTATCACTTTTAATCCTAGAAACTATTTAGTTATTATAATAATTTTTAACCAATCCTAGAAATCTTCACTTATGCTATTTATTGCAATCAATTTTTCCACAGTCATGATTCAGCATGTAGTCGGGCATTACGGAGAATTAAGATAAAATTTGGGGATCGCATTAATTCGTGTATTATTATTGTAGTATCAGGATAACAGCGTACGTACGTACGTACGTACATAAGAATTTGTTTGTTAAAAAAGTTAATTAGTTGTTTAGCAGCCCGATCATAGTAATCTGACGGATAATTGGTTATATTTGTTTTTTTTTTAAAAAAAATTTTTGGTATGATAATATATAGGGAAATTCTATTTTGACCCGGGTCAAAATGACCCTCACAAAATTTTAGGGTTAGTGCGGGCCAGAATTATATTGATGCGGGCCGGGGTTTTTTTAATATAAAAACCCGGCAGGCATTAACATAATTCTGGCCCGCACTAACCCTAAATTCTAGGAGGGGTCATTTTGACCCGGGTCAA